TGCAGAGAATTCCCAAAACAGTACAGAAAAATGTTTCGGTGATCATTTGATATCCATATAGTTCCCTGGGAACTCAGAAATATCAATAAAAATTAAAATAGAGAAAAAAAATACCTAATCCAAGATTTTGTTGATTTTAAAAGGACAAAAGCTTCTTTAAGCAATTAATTAACATGCATCAGTGAAACATCATCAAACCATATAAAATAGGAAGTTTTACACCAGAGAGTAATATAAGCATCAATACCCTTGTGGGCTGGTAAAATGCCTGCTCTGCTCAAATGACAGGGCGTTGGGTCTTCAGTGTGTCCAAGGGATATCCCCATTGCAATTTGTCAGCAGACTGGCAAATATTCTTAGTGACAGGAATGCAAAGCCCAGGAATACAGCCTTACCCTCATTCATGGCTCAAAGCGCCTCAGCCAGCTCTCCTGACTCCTTCTAAGGGCCCCAAATACGAATTAAACAGCTTTACCATCTCTGTATCTAAATTTGGACATAGGTATCAAGTTTGAATGCCTGATGAGATTAATTAAGTACTTTGCAGAAGTGTGAAGTAATCAGTCCTAGGATGGAAGGAAAAAAAGAAGGAAATCCCCAGAGGTGGATCTGACATGATTCCTGTCTCTATTGAAGTTTCGTAAGATCACAGCTGAAATAACATTCTACCATAAATTGAAAGGTTCTGCATTAACAGCAGGAAACAAAAACTCATCTCAAAACTCATCCCCCACTAATTCAGCATTTCCACCACAAATTCTAAAGTTGGCACATCGTCATATATCGCCACCTAGTGTCCATAGGCAGGTGTATGTTAACCTTAGCTGAACCCAAAGGTGACATTTTTCTGGAGTCACCTTCCAAGGGCTTCCTGTTAGACTTGGCTATTTACCGCATCAGGATTCCTGGTGTGATTCCTCATTCTACTTCAGGGCATACCCATGAAAGTGTAATAATGAATTTATTTTGTTGTAGTGAAGCTCCCATTTTGTGGATTACCCTCAAGTACTTTGAAACTGCAAACTGCTCCCAGGAGAACTCTTGACACCTAGCATACATCAGTCTCTCCACCTTTCCTTCTCGTTATTCTCTATTATTGGTGTGTGGATTCTGTCTCTAGAGTGCATACATTTTGAGACCATAATTTTCTGCATGAGACACAACTGGGAAGAGAGGGTTGCATCAGAAATGCATCCAAATTGTTCATAATACAAACATTTGACTGGCTTTAGAATTGTTTCATTTTGTGGATTCACCCTTTCCCTCCTTCTTCATCTGTAACAATGCGATGGAAAGGAGAAAAATATGTTAATGAATCATCAAAAATCAACAGAATAACAGAATATAACAAAAATTAAAATAAATCCAAGGATTAATTACTTCAGAGACCCTACTTCCTTTCAAGCAATCTTTAGAGTAGAAGCCCAAGCAAGCCATTTCTAGACAGGAAGTATGACAATTTTTGAAGACGCAAGCTGTTCGATGGCAGTAAATTCTTTCAAAACATTTTTAGACCTACATTACTGTCTCTGCGTCAGACTTTTTCTGACCAGGCAAAATAGAAGATGTGAGCAATTAGATGAGGTTTGGATGTAGATCTATGAACAAGGGACAACTTTCTTAGTTTGCCTTGGAGTTAGATATGCCAGATTGCCATGTAAAATATAGGGCATGCTTATACTAAAAAATTACTCATTGTTTATCTGAAACTCAAAGTCAACTGTGTGTCCTGCATTTTATCAGGCTATTCTACTTGGTATGGAACAAAAGAACTCGTTGGAGAAAATAACTAGGTTCCTAGCAGAACTGGAGTCATTTTTATGAAAATGGTGTTTTTTGTGGTGTTCCAGAGACCAATATTATGCAAAGGCCCAAGACTGTAAGCATTCAAATAATACCCTGAATTTAATACTTAAAATTTATGAAACATTTCACATTTATTACATCATGTGTATTCTCCTAATGACAACCCTGTGAGTATTTTTATGCCTGTCTCAAGGCCCACAGACGTTAAGGAATTGTCATGGTGATCCTCATGAAGCTGTACAAAAAAGGCAGAACTTGAATCCAAATCTCCCAGTATAGTACAACATCTGAAAATAAAGAAAATGTTCATGTGGACACTACATAAGACTTTCAACTGTGAAATAAGGCCAGGAAAATGAAGATATTCTCAGAGTCACTGAGCTGTCTTACATACACTCTCAGACTATAGAGTCCAGTTTGATTTCTTTTTTTAATTTTGTTTTACATTTATTTATTTTTGAGAGACAGAGCACAAGTGGGGGAGGGGCAGAGAGAGAAGGAGACAGAGAATCCAAAGCAGGCTCCAGGCTCTGAGCTGTCAGCACAGAGCACAGTCAGACGCAGGGCTTGAACTCACAAACCATGAGATCATGACCTGAGGCAAAGTCGGACCCTTAACTGACTGAGCCACCCAGGTGCCCCTAGTTTGATTTTTTTTTAACCATAAAACAATCACTTTATTTCCCCAAGTACGTGAGACATTATTCTTCTGATGTAAGTTTATTCACACATACCCAAAATTTCTAAATCTCCAACCACTACTCTTTGTAAGCCATTCATATGTCCTAGAGACCTTTAATAAAACCACAGTATAATCCAAATCTGTTTAACCCAGAGTCTGATCTTTACATTTGAAATTTAGATCTTTACATTTGAAATTTAGAAAATGCTCTTGTAATAATTCCTTTGGCTCTTAAGGATCAGGTTTGTTTTTAAATTGTAGAGTAGTGACAGCTGGTGTTCATAGTGCGTATTACACTTTTCCCCAGCACAGTTTTTTTTCTATCTTTTACTTGTGGTCCTCCAGTTCTAGTTCTCATAAAAACTCCCTGCAGAGTTTCTTAAATGAAGCTTCCTAAACCTCATAGACTCTGATCATATACATCAGGAGTAATATACACTCTACAAGCCCCAGTGCTACCAACCCTTTTGTCCCGGTCAATCTCATGCAAGAGAACATTGTTGTAGATATGAATCACTACAGATCTTGTTAAAATATAGATTCTGGGGCAGTAGTATTGGGATGAAGCCAAAGATTCTGCCCTTCTAACAAGTTCCCAGGTAGTTTTATACCCCCAAATTGAAACCTAACCAATTCCACTTCTTTATGTAGCCAGATCACCAAAGCCTAGATCCTGAGTACAAAGTGCCCTTAATGGATGAATTTCACTCAGTGGGTAAACAGATTTTGGTTAAATCTTCTCCTCGCCCTGTTCTCTGTTCTGCCCACATGCTTTGAGTCCTAAAAGCCATAGTCACCTCAAGGAGAAGTAGCTCAGAACAAAGCAGGACAACATCCTGATGGGAGGCCTGCCTAAACCCATGCCTGTTCTCTTCTAGACCATTTATTTCCTGTTACCAAAGAGACAGGAAGGCCCAGGGCAGTATCACCCCGACAAGGACTGGGCACATATATGGAAAGCAGAGCTACAAATATAAAGTTCAGAAGAGTTCAATGATGATGATAAGGATGATAAAGATGATGTCAGCTAACATTTATTGCACACTAAGTGCTGCGCACTATGCTAAATACTTTACGTGAATTATCTCATATAGTCTTCTAAATATATCTACAAAGTAGATAATATCATGGTGTCTATTGTAATGACAGAGACAGACAGATGAGCACATAGGTAACTGTTATATCTCATATCACAATTAAAGTCCAGTGATTGTACGAATCACATTCATATTAAAAATCAAAATATTAAGTAGACGGCTTCTCTTCCATTTTGTCCTAGAGACACGTAACATTTATTCCCTATAACATTCATGCATTGCCACCTCGCAAGAGATGGCTAGAACATACAAGATGTTTCCAGGAAAAGCTTAAGTTTTCTAGAAATGGCTAAAATATATGCCTATCTTAATGTATCAAATATTGCATCACTGATGTGGGCAACTTAAAAAGATGTGTTCTCAACAGTTGAGTCCTGTGACTGAGTCAAATAATAAAAACGAAGTTTTCACATACTTTTACTTTTATCCATACCTTTTTTTAATTTCTATTATCATTTTACATAGTGTTTTCTTGCAATCAGCTAATAGTTCCATGCAGCATTTCTTAAAATATCACAATATATTGTCTTCAAAACTTTTTATTTTTTATTTTTCAATGTTTGTTTACTTTTGAGAGAGAGACCATGAGCTGGGGAGGGGCAGAGAGAGAGAGAGAGAGACAGAGGATTCAAAGTGGCTCTGCACTGGGAGGAGAGAGCCCAATGCAGGGCTCAAACTCACAAACTGTGAGATCATGACCTGAGCCAAAGTCGGACGCTTAACTCACTGAGCCACCCAGGCGCCCCTGTTGTCTTCAAACTTGTAATGTGCTTTAGATATGCTTGGTTGAGCAGAAAGTAGTTCATCTTGTGTTTTGGTTTTATAATCCTACTGTCTTTACAGAAAGAACTAGCTACAATACCACGGTCTTTCCAGGTCAAGCACTTAGTGATTACTATATATTTCTTAGTTTGCATAAGTATGCATCTTTGTTATTAAGAATTAGTGTTTTCTAGAATAAAAAGCCATATATTCATAAAAAAAACATCAATGCAGGGGCGCCTGGGTGGCGCAGTCGGTTAAGCGTCCGACTTCAGCCAGGTCACGATCTCGCGGTCCGGGAGTTCGAGCCCCGCGTCGGGCTCTGGGCTGATGGCTCAGAGCCTGGAGCCTGTTTCCGATTCTGTGTCTCCCTCGCTCTCTGCCCCTCGCCCGTTCATGCTCTGTCTCTCTCTGTCCCAAAAATAAATAAACGTTGAAAAAAAAAAAAAAAACATCAATGCAGGCAGCAGTAAGAGTGAGATGGATTACACATTGACCTCTGAATAATCTCATAATCTGGTGAATGGGTTAATTTTTACAGTTCTGTGAGGGTCCTCCTTTGTCTCCAAAGAATAAGAACAATCCAAGAGAGTGAAAAGGAGAAGGCAAATAGATAAAAGAAAACTGAAATAAGTTGAAAGACAGTTACTCACCTCTTTTCTTCTGACTTTTATTGCTGTGGAAGGCACAGAGATTTCAAAGCCACTCAAGTCCATGTTTTAATCTCGCATTTGCCACTACATGTAGTTATAAGATCAGGCAGTTTGCTCAGCCTAAATCTGTTTCTTCACTTCTGCCGTGTAGACACTATTACTCTCCCAGCCCAGTTGTTGGGTAGATAGAAGGTATGGAGCCTGGAAATAGAACAACAGAAAGCAGCTGTTGATAATGGTAGCTTGTTATTAATGATCACTACTTCTTCATCTGTTCAACTTTCAACAAATATTTATTTTTTTTATTTTTTTAATGTTTATTTATTTATTTATTTTTGAGAGTGAGTGTGCATGCATGCGAGCAGGGGAGGGGCAGAGACAGGGAGAGAGAGAACCCCAAGCAGGCTCTGTGCCATCAGTGCTGAGCCCAGTGTGGGGCTTAAACCCAGGAACCATGAGATCATGACCCGAGCCAAAATCAAGAGTCAGACGCTCAACCGACTGAGCCACCCAGGTGCCCCAAGAAATGTATTTTAGAGGTAATCTCAGGGAACATTTGAGGGGCATAGGGAAGTGAGATGGGACAGGGAAGAAAGCCAAGGAAGGGACTGTGGTGAAGCAGGTTACTACTTTGGAAAACTAGAGTTTAACCCCACTGGAAAGCTCTGGGGCCAGTGTAAAACACATTCCTTAGAAACCTCACATCTAAGGGGCAAGAGACCTGGGTTATCTGTCCACCAATTCCTACCAGATATTGGTTAGGGCTGCACCCATCAACAAATATTTATTGATCACCTCTCTGTGGCAGGAATACAGGAAAGTCCCAGGAATACAGTGAATAAACAGATAAAGTCTCTGTCCTCAAGAAGTTTCTGTTTTATTCTCTGAATACCCGGTTATCAAAATTCCAGCTTCCCATACCCTACTCCACTGAAATTTCTCTGGCAAAGTCACTGTTGCTGGACCTACCAAATAAGATGGACCTCAATAAGACCTTTTTGTAGCATCTAATAACATTGAGCACTAATAGCAATGATTCTTGATGTCTAGAATACTCTCTCCTGATTTCCTTCTACCTTCTGACTGAAACTTGCCAGTCTCTGTTGCTAGTTTGTCTTCTGTTACCCTTTTAATTAATATTTCTTAGTATTCTGGCTTTGCCTTTTTCCTTTACACTCTACACTAGTAGTTCTTGAACCTTCAGAGTCATGAACTCCTTTATGAATCTGAAGAAGTTATGCACCCTCTCCACAGGGGGGAAAATGAATCTACATACAAATATACAAAAGTGTGCATGCATTTTCAGGAGTTTCACAGACCTTTCTCCCTTCCCATAAAGCCCATCATTGAACTTCATGTTAAGGGGTTTTCATGGCTTTAACTATTCCCCATATGTCAATGAGCCTCAAATATCTGTCTCTCACATAAACCACTTTCCTGAGCAATAGGCTACTTTCATATGACTTATTGACAATTCCACATGAATGTCCCTTTAGGCACCCTAAAACTCAAGATATCCCAAACTAAAGTCTTCATGTCTCTCCAAAAACCTGTTCTCCTGGAGGACAATACCTATGGGAAAGAAAACACTACTTGTGAACCTAACATACCTAGATTTAAATCCAGCTCTGGAAGCTTCAGAAATATACTTAACCTCTTTCTGCTTTAATTTCTTCATATTTAACATGAGAATAGTACCTCCATTTTCTGTATTTTTATGAGAATTAAAACAGATAATGGGAAAATCCCTATCCAAGTGCCACTACATAGTATACATTCCACAGATATTAATATTACTGAATTCCCAATACAGCAAAAGCAACACCTTTCACCAAGTATCCTAAGTCAAAAAGTCAGGAGTTATCATTATACACCCTTCCAACCTATCTTCTAAATGGCAGCCAGAGGATCTTCCCAAGACACAAATCTGATGATGCCATGACTCTGCTTCAATCTTCCCAACTGCTTCTCATTGTTCCCAGGATTACATCTATCTTAGTATTGTACTGAAGGCTGACTACGATCTAGCCCCTGTCTATGTCAAACTCATTCTCTTGATTACTTGTAGATCTCCCCAAAAGCGTGCAGTGTTTTTGATTCCATAACTCTCTTCACACTGCTCCCTTTGCCTGAAATGTCCTCACCCCTCCACATCTTTTCTTGGTATTCAGGAAAACACCCATTCATGTTTCAGAATACAGTTCAAGCATCACCTCTGCTATGAAGTTACTCCTGACAGCCTCCTGCCATACTGTTGATCACGGACTCCTTTATCTCCCATCTGTAACTGACAGATGATTTCTATCATGGTAAAGATGAATAGCATATGGCTCCTGGTTTCAAAAAGCTTACAATCATTCAACCATAAATCCTCTTATATAACCTGTAAAAGTAAGCCAAAAAGAAATTATGAGGCACGAAAAATTGAGTTGTACGTAACTTCAACACCCAGCTCAGTGGTCCCTTCTTAGAAGCCTTTCTGTGACTCCCAAGCTCTGAGCTGTGTGTGTGCATATGTATAGTTATATGTTAGCTAGATATAAACTCATTTACTCTTTACAGTGTATGGGGCAGGGGCACTGTTATTATTCCCGTTTTACAGGTGAGGAAATTAAAGCAAAAAGAGACTAAGTAACTCATCTAACATTACTTACCCAGAAATACTGGCATGAAAAAAGTATGGACTTCAATTAATTAAAAAAAAAAAAACACAATTGACAAATGAAAATTACATACTGTTTATAAATAAGTCGTTTGATATATATTTATTGAGCCTATTAAGGCCTGGTACACAAATAGAAAAACCTAGGTGCCCTATGCTCGAAAACAGGGATTCGTGCAAAATTAACAAGTGTGATATAAAGAACCATAGATTGTAGCTCTTGGGGGGCAGTAAGAACGCCTTAGGGTGGAGGAATATACCAAATAGATCAATGAGTTGAGGAACCGAACGAAATGAAATGAGCCACTTAACCGAGACCAGAAGCCCTCCTCCTTCCACGTCACCCAGCCTCACCTTTCCTCCTCCTACATCGCTTTTGCCCACTAGCCAATGGAAGGTAGGCTCTACATACTTACTGTGCGCGTGCGCATCATCAATTCGACGATCCTTCGCATCGATGTTTTCGGAAGCAACTTCTTCAGCCTGGTCACTACCGGCGTCGACGCTACCTCTGCTGCCGCCGCCGCCGCCATTTTGACGGCGGAAAGAGCGAGGGTCTGGGACAGCTGGAGGCGGCGGCGGTAACTGGTACGGATGGTTTCCGCCCGCGTTAGCCCCTCCAAGTTCGCCGGTCTTGGGGCCACAGCACTCGGTATTGCTTTTATTCCCACCGGGTCCCGTGTCTCTCCCCAGTCTTGTCACTCTGTCTTTAGGCTGTTTTTCGCTTCCTCACTGGCAGCGGCGCTTGAACCCTCGTTTGGAGCTGTTATCAACCCCCGCCACTCCCCCCGGACCTGTGTTAATATACCCGCCTCGACGCTGGGGACTCAGGCTGGGTCACCGACTCCTCGTTCCCCGCCCTCATCCGGTCCGAGTTGCTTTTGGGGGTGGGGGGCACGGCCTTCTCTGGGCAGGGATCTGTGCCCTTTAGGGGGAGGGGAAGACCCAATTCTGGCATTCTTGGGTTACGGAGAGAGCTTGGGCTTTAGCTTTAGCTTTAATGGTGGTGGAGAGAAGCATAGAATAGTCGGCGTTACCCGAGCTTTGTGTTGTTAGAGCTTAATTTGTCACTGGCCTCTTTTGTCCTTTCTCAGGAATAACTTTACGAAAGGAAAGGTATTTTGCACCCTCTCTCCCCGCTGGAAATGGCCACTGTGAGTAAATTAGTCTCTTAAGCGGTATAGTGGTTTGGGCACTTTTAGGAAATGGAGGGTTTGGTTTAATTACGGCATTGGTGGCGTAATGTTTCTTGTGAAAAGTGTCAAGGGAAGGAAGGGGTGTGAAATTCTGTTCGTATGCTTTGAAGGTAGTTTGAAAAAAACTTTCTCTTCAGTACACATGTACTTGTTTCTGCAGATTCATTTTTGGAAATAAATTCAGTGCCAGCATCCTTCCAATATTTTTTAGAGACATTATTTCAGGAAATATTCAGAATCTATTTTTAAGCTTTTTATTATTTTTATTTATTTATTTATTTATTTTTATTTTTATTTATTTTTTTTTTTTTTTTGGTTCGCTAACCTGAAAGTTTTCTAGCAGTTTCAGTATAGGAAGTAACCTTCCAAATCCTGCAAAATGAGAGCAAGAGGTATAATTCACATAGACCAGAAATATTTATTGATTGTAATTCTCCAATAATTAGACATATCCTCCCATAAGGAGTTGATATAGGGGGACACTAGACATACATGAAATAGTTGCATTAAAAAGTATAAAGTAGGGGCGCCTGGGTGGCTCAGTCGGTTAAGCGGCCGGCCGACTTCAGCTCAGGTCACGATCTCACGGTCCCTGAGTTCAAGCCCCACATCAGGCTCTGTGCTGACAGCTCAGAGCCTGGAGCCTGTTTCAGATTCTGTGTCTCCCTCTCTCTCTGCCCCTCCCCTGTTCATGCTCTGTCTCTCTCTGTCTCAAAAATAAATAACACGTTAAAAAAAATTTAAAAAAAAAAGTATAAAGTAATTGGGGTGCCTGGGTGCTTCAGTTGGTTAAGCGTCCGACCCTTGGTTTTAGCTCAGGTCATGATCTTGGGGTTCCAAAGCCACGCGTCGATCTCCGCACTGAGCATAAAGCCTGCTTGGGATTCTCTCTTTCTCCCTCTGCCCCTCTCACGCTTGCTCTCTCTCAAAAGACATAAATAAACTTAAAAACAATTCTAATTATTTCTTAAAAATTACACAGTGCAGGTTCAAAGCTTTGTGGAGAAGAGAAACTAGGGGTTTGGGATTACTTAAAGAAGCATTTAATCTGAGTTTTGAAAGAAGAGTGAAACTTAGATAATCGGAGATTTGAATGGAAGAACAGGAGGTATATTCAAAGACACCCTCCCTTTCAGAAATTAAGAAGTCATTTTTGCCTTGTGGAATGTAAGATACGTGAAAGAGGTTAGTGGGAAATAATGTTGGGTTGTGGAGTTGGAATCAAATAATAGCCTTGAGTGTCGCAGTATTTAGATTTGATTCTTTAAATTGTGGTCATTTTAGCAGAGCTGTGTTAAGATTAATATGGCAGTAATTAGCCAGGATAATGCAATTAAACATGATATATTAAGAGTCTAATGATGTGACAGTAGGGACAAGTCATAAAAGTAGACCACTAGTCTTGACCCCATTTTAAGGTGAATTTTTACCTAGCCGAGGGAAGGTTGTAAAAGAAGCATGTGTACTCTCAAAGGAGAAACCTTAATTAGAATAGAATATTAAGGTTTAACCTGCATTTGTGTGTGCATGCATGCTGAATGGCTGTCAGTAATGAAACATGCAAGTATGTCTTCAACAACTTAGTTAGCATACATAGCAAGAGTTGTCCATGTTTCAGAAGCTGGACAGGTAAATCAGGATGCCTTGATAGGAATTTTGACAAATTGCAGTGTTCACTACTGATGATGGGAGGAGCCTTCCATAGCTACGGTGATTTGTTGCTAACCAGTGCCATTTGAAAATAGGAATCCAGGGCTGCCAGCTCTTCCATGTTTCCAAGAACAGTGCTAAATATGGGCTTTTTGTGGAAATCTACAGTTTCTCAATGCTGATATTCAATTCAAGTTTCTTCTAACAGTGTGGATCACCCAAAAATGCCTGTAGACGGATATGGATGAATTTCCTAGATGACCAGTTTTCGGTCTTTGGTATAGACCATATTTTCTGCTCACATGACCAAAAGCAGGATTTAGTCCTAAAATAGTATCTAAAAGACTGTTTCTCTTTTTATACTAATAAAGATTTTAGAATTAAACCTTAATAGCCTGTCATCTTCCCAAATTTAGAATCCTAGGTTTGAAGTAATCATATAAAATACATAGTTGTCCTCATACTAAAATAAACTGACTGTTCTAATTTTTGAGTTATTTATTGGCTCGCTTTTAGTTCTTATATTTACCAGTTGACCCAATGGCATAAAATCTGCCAAGTAAAGAATTAGAGGATCAAACAAGTTAGAAGATGAAATTTGAAACACGTTAGCACTGTCGTCAGCTATTCTTTCAGTGGATAAATTAGATACTTAATGGCTTATTTTGCCATTAAAATGAAACTTGGTTAAATAAATAAAGTGAAACTTGGTGAGTAGATTTTCTTAGATTGGGAAAAAAACTCACATTTTACTGTAACTTTTGTTAAAAGCTTTACCATCAAGGAAAAATACCGAAGTAGAATTAGTGGCCTTGGTACTCAGAGGCTTAAATAATCCTTAATATTATTAGGCAGTTGCTAAAATAATTTGGATAATCTTTCTGTTTCCTTTTTTACTTGTGAAGCAATGTATTATTACACATAATATTTTAGTAATCTTAAATAATATCAAATATAATATTTAATACTTTAATGTTAATGGTATATGGAACTGGTGTGGAAATAAGTCAAACAGTGCATGTAAGCACTTAGCACACAGAACCTAGCCAACAGTAACATCCATTGATTATTTACTATTTAATATTGTCCCCTTCAGATAATATTTTATTCAATATTTTACTTTGAGGCCTTGCCTAAAATATTTTTGGAATTTAAAATTTATATTGCCTTTAGATCCTGAGCCATATTCTGTTAAATGTAAATGTCTTCAATTGTAAAGGTAAATTTCAATTACAGAAACACCCAAAAGTCTGAGTTTGTCTGGTAGGTTAAAATCTAATAACTATCACATTTGGTTCTTTGGGCAGGTTGGGTGCTAACCCAAGGGAGCGTGCTTAAATTTTCAGGTGGGCAGAATACTCTTCAGACAGGCCTTGTACTTTGGAGACACATAAAGGAGGTTCTCTTTATCCAGATCTTGAAATTTGCTAGACCTAGAAGGAGAGGCAAAAGGGAAGAAATCTTATGGCAGTATAAAAGAAGGCAGAAAAATATGGGAAATGTTAGGTAGATAGATATTTTTATGTGACTAAAGAATAGAAAAGGGAAAGGACGGTAAAGCTAGTAAGAAATTATGCCAGAGAGGTAGAAAGACCAGTTAGGATATTCTCTTCTATTTATGATGAAAAAAAGGTCAGGGGCGCCTGGGTGGCGCAGTCGGTTAAGCGTCCGACTTCAGCCAGGTCACGATCTTGCGGTCCGTGAGTTCGAGCCCCGCGTCGGGCTCTGGGCTGATGGCTCAGAGCCTGGAGCCTGTTTCCGATTCTCTGTCTCCCTCTCTCTCTGCCCCTCCCCCGTTCATGCTCTGTCTCTCCCTGTCCCCAAAAAATAAACGTTGAAAAAAAAAAATTTTTTTTTAAAAAAAGAAAAAAGGTCACAGAATACCTGGGTTGAATTTCAGAATACTATATGAAAGGGATAATATTCTAAAGTATCAAATGGCTACACTATTTCAGTATCCTGGTGACTAGTTTACATGCCACCTCTCTAATCCCACTCCAGGCCCTACTGCCCTGAGTGGTACGTTCCTAAAAACATTCCTTGTTTTTATCAGTTTACACTATTCTTCCCTGCCTCCAGATTAAAATTCTGGTTTGTTGTCTTGATGTAATAAGTCCTTTACTGTGTAAAATACATAGTGTTTTATAATTGCCCACAACTTAACTTTCAAGCCTGTTTTTTACTGTATTCCCTTATCTATGTATCCTCATTGAACTTTTCACTGTTTCGAAAATACCTTTTATGACTATACATCTGTTCCTAAAGTCACTCACTGAAATGCCCCTTTCCTTCTCAACTTACTGCTGTTTCTTCAAAACCTAGTGTATCCTCTGAAATTTTTTTCCTACTCCCTTTCAAGGATCTCTTAATTGTTCAAATCTTTTAATAGCATTTCACAGATAATGTGGTATTTGTTCTTAAATATTGCCTACTAAACAAGGAGTTGGCATTTTAGTTTTTTAATGCAAAGGGACAGATAAGTAAATATTTTAGGCTTTCTGCAGTCCCTGTGCAACTGTTTAACTGCCATTATGGCATGGAAACAGCAGTAGACAATACATGAGGAAAGTGGAAGTGGCTGTGATAGAATAAAACTTTATTTGCCAAAACAGCAAGCTATATTCACCTATAGTTTGCCAACCCCTGCATTAAATTACTCTGACCCAAGTATTTTGCTAGAAGTTTATGCGTGAAAGATGTTTACACGTTCACCCACTGTAACTGACCTCAGAGTCCAGGAACAAAGGAGCAAAAAATGTACCACAAAGCTACGTACTAAAGGTTTTGAAGGTCCTTAAGAATGGAAAAATCTTATTTGTACTATGTTTTTAGTATTGTTCCTAAATAGGGCAACTTTTAGAAGTTCCTATTCTCTCTAATGTGGCACTCTTGATTCTGGCCTTTATTGGAAAGGCCACATATTTTTACACAAAGTAACTTACTGTTTGTTTCTTAATAGACTTGTTTTTTAAAATTATATACATAATGCTTGTCAAATGGTAGTTGCTCAATAATAGAATAAAATTTGGTTTTAAAAGATACATTGCAGTGTGAGGATTTGCCACAGATTGTCTAGAAGTATAAAATGTATGTTCAGAACAAATAGTTTTCATTTTTGTGTTATTCTTAGGTGCTGTGTAATAGAGCCAGACTAGTTTCCTATCTCCCAGGATTTTGCTCTTTAGTTAAAAGGGTTGTCAATCCCAAAGCCTTTTCAACTGCAGGATCTTCAGGTTCTGATGAGTCTCATGTGGCCACTACACCTCCAGATATATGTAAGTAAAACTTATTATTGATTTACATATAATTATTGCAGAACATTTCGAGTTGTGCTTTCTGTAATGTTTCTTGAGGCTTTACAAATCTTACAAGGTTAAGTTTATGCCATTAAAAATAAAATCAGCTCTGTATACATATTTATATTGGATAACTACAATGAAAAAAAAAAAGAATACATTTGGTTTTTAAAACTTATTTTCTTGAACTGTAGTTTCTATTGTAAACACACTTAGTCCTGCCTGAAACAAATCTTTTGATCCCATAAACTACTATCAATTATTTGCTGAATTTCTTAAATTTAGCTGGTATTTTGTGTATATATACACATGGATATATTATTGAAATATGATTTGCATACTTGCATTAGATTCAGAAGTACAATATAATGATTCAGCAGTCCTATATGACACCGTCTACAGATAAATGTACTCCTAATCCCCCTTACCTATTTCACCTATGGCCCTGCCCTCCTCCCCTCTGGCAAACACCAGTTTATTCTTTTTGAGACCGTTTTGTTTCTTTTATATTTTAGTCATCTCACAAAAATTTGTTCTTCAAACTAGTTCTCTTTAATGTAGAAAAGAGGAAGGATTTTTTTTTTTTGGAATATAATTAATAGAGTGTATGCTAGTTTTAAGTATACAGTAAAATGATCAATTTTGTACATTTCTCAGTGCGCATCAAGATAAGTATACTCTTGATCTCCTCTATTTCATCCCTCCCCCACACATGCTTTCCTTCTGGAAACCACCAGTTTGTTCTCTGTATTAAAGACTATTTTTGTTTGTCCCCTTTTTTCTTAATTCTGCATGAGTATAATCATATAGCGTTTGTCTTTTTCTAACTGAATTTTTTCTCTTAACATTATACCTTCTACATCCATCCATGTTGCTACAGATGGCAAGCTTTCATTATTTTTTATGGCTAAGTAATATTCCATTTTGTTTTTTTTGGTTTTTTTTTTTTTTAATGTTTATTTTTGAGACAGAGAGAGACAGAGCATGAACGGGGGAGGGTCAGAGAGAGGGAGACACAGAATCCGAAACAGGCTCCAGGCTCTGAGCTGTCAGCACAGAGCCCGACACGGGGCTCGAACTCACGGACCGCGAGATCATGACCTGAGCCGAAGTCGGCCGCTTAACTGAACTGAGCCACTCAGGCGCCCCAGTAATATTCCATTTTGTATGTATATCATATCTTTATACGTTCATCTGTTGGTGGGTATTTGGATTATTTCCATATCTTGGCTATTATAAGTAATGCTGCATTAAATATAGGGTCCATATGTCTTTTTCTTTTGTATTTTCATTATCTTTGGGTAAATACCCACTTTGCAGTTACTGGATCATTTGATAACTCGTTTTTTAAATTTTTAAAGAGTTTCCATTCTGTTTTGCACAATGGCTGCAATATAAGAATGCAGTTTCCCACCAACAGTGCGTGAGAGTTCCTTTTTCTCCACATCCTTGTCAACCCAGGTTATTTCTTGCATTATTAATATTAGCTATTCTGAGACACATATAAGGCGATATCACATTGTGGTTTGGGTTTGCCTTTCCCTGATGATTATTGATGTTGAGCATTTTTTCATGTGTCTGCCATCTATGTGTCTTAGACAAATGTCTCTTCAGGACCTCTGCCCCTGTTTTAATAGGATCTTTGTGTGTGTGTGTGTGTGTGTGTGTGTGTGTGTGTAAGTTTTTTATATATATATTTTGGATATTGACCCCTTATCAGGTATATCATTTGAAATATCTTTTCCAATTCAGTAAGTTACTTTTTTTTTTTTTTTCTCGTGTTATTAATGGTTTCACTGTGCAAGACTGTTTCCTTTTGGTATAGTCCCAATAGTTTAATTTTGCTTTTGTTTTCCTTCCCCAAGGAGACATATCTAGAAAAAAGTTTCTATAGCCAATAATAAGGAAATTATTGCCTATGTTATTGAGGTGTAATGACATACAATGTTGTATTAGCTTCAGATATACAACAGAGTAATTCAACACTTCTGAACATTATACAATGCTTACCACAAATGGAGTTACCATCGATCACTATATGATATTATTACAGTATTACTGACTGTATACCTATGCCTTACTTTTTCATCCTTCTGACTTAGTTTATTTTATAACTGAAAGTTTGTACCTCTTACTGTCTCATACCTAATTAGCCCATAGTACTACCCACTTTCTCTCTGGAAACCACCACTTTTCTGGATTTGAGTATGTTTCTGCATTTTGTTTCTTCATTTGTTTTTTTATGTTTCACATGCAAATCATGTGGTATTTGTCCTTCTTTGTCTCACTTATTTCACTGAGAATTGTATCTTCCAGGTCCATCCGTCTGTGCTACAAATGGCAAGATTTCATTCTTTTCTTTATGGATGATTTATTCTATCGTGTGTATACACATGTTCTTTATTCATTTATCTATTAGTATACACTTAAGTTGTTTGCTATCTTATCTATTATAAATAATGTTGTGTACATCAGGGTGCATATATCTTTTATTAATTTCAACATTCATTTGTTTTGAGGAAATACCCAAAGTGGAATTTCTAGATTGTCTGGTAATTCTATTTTTAATCTTCTTCAAGGAACCTCCACACTGTTTTCTACAGTGGCTGTGCACCAATTTGCCTCCTACTAGCAGAGGACAAGGGTTCTCTTTTCACATCCTCACCAACGCTTATTTCTTTTTGTCTAGCCATTCTGACTGGCATGAAAATGCTGTCGTATGAATTTATCAATATCGGAGTGAAGGAATGCTTGTTTTGTCATTTCTGTAATGATTTTCAGTTTTTCTCCAGCAAAGGCAAAATATCTTACAA